GGGGCTGTCGAGTGGGTTCCGACTCAGGGACTAACAGGACGAATGTCCACAGTACGTGAGTCAGAGTCTCGCCATCCTCCCTGCGAAGGAGCATTCTGGCCGTACTTCTCCCAAGATGGAAGTTCTTCCTCCTCCCTCATTAACACAATCTCGCTGCCATCTAAGGTTCCTATCTAACTTTTGGAGTTCTCACTTTGAACCCAGAGAGACAGTTCTTCAAAAAACACAGTGCTCAAGGTAGACTTTTTTTTTTTTTTTTTTTACTAGTTAAGCTAAACTATGGTTTGGTTTTGAGAAGACTTCAGGGGTATATTTTTGGTTTAAAGTTTAAATCTTAGGGTAATAGTTTCAGGAGTTCATCCATCCTCCAGGGCTCCAAGAAATCTGGAGTCCATGACAATTGGGAATTCTGTTCTACATTTCCCCCTTTTGATCAGGATTTTCCTATGGAATCTCTGATCAAAATGTTCAGGAATGGTAGCCAGGCACCATCCAGTTCTGGCCTCATGGAAGCAGTGGTTCACGGCAGCAACTAGCCACACGTGGTTTCCTCATCCTCTTCCCAACTCTCCTTCTTCCTCTGTTGATCCAGGTGAACAGAGGCCCCTTGCTGTGCCTTGGATGATGGCTGGATGACCATTTGCAAGTTTTTAAGAGCTTGGGTACTGCACATATGATTAGGAGTTAGAACAGAAGCACTGAACACATTGCTAGGCCAATTACCTGGGATGTCCCATGAAAACAGGACCCTAAACCCCCAGAGCAAGGAACCAAATCTCCTGAGGTGTTTGGTTGTACAGAAGCAGCCTCAGCAGCGACTGTGTGTCTGTGTGTATTTGTGTGTCTCCGAGTATTTGTGCATCTGTGTGTGTCTGTGTATCTGTGTGTTATCACTGTAAATATATCTGTCACACTTTTCCCAGTTTGACTTTTTGTGGGCGTACCACTTACTGACAGCAAGTACAATCATCAGGTGTACAGCCCGCCCACGTCAGTGTGATTTTCCATCACTGTTATCGTCTGATTTCCTGACTGCTGCTCCCATGGGCAGCAGCTATGGATCCACACAAAATGAATTGTGACAACCTGTATTTTCTCCATTTGTTATGATGTTGCTTACTGGTCCAGTTGTGAGGATTTCAGTTTTGTGTTGAGGTGTAAGCCATACTGAAGACTGTAGACTTTGACCTTTATCAGTAAGCACTTCAAGTCCTCTTTGCTATCAGCAATATCAGAAGACTGGTTCTATACTGCGGCGGGATGGAGTCTGACCGGGAGGGGCCACAGGAACATTCTAGAATGACGATGGTATTCCCTATCTTTATGGGCATGATAGTTATATGGGTCTGTCACCTCACCGAAGTGTGTACTTTTGAACTGTGAATTTCACATAGGTAAACATTCTGTTGTCGTTGCCACTGGGCACTGTTCAGTCGGCCCTGACACATGGCAAAGTGGTTACGCAGGAGAACTGCTCCATAGGGTTTCTTGGTTGTAATCTTTGTAGAAAGTTTGCCAGGCCTTTCTTCTGTAGAGCAGCTGGGTGCATTAGAACAGCCAACCTTTAGGTTAGCAACTGAGTGCTTAACTACTATCCCACCCAGAGTCCCACGTGCATTACCTCATAATACAAACCGACTCCATAATGAACAGAATTTCAGATTCTTGTGGAATCTAGACTTTCTGGAGCCATTGAGGCTGGATGAAACCCAAAACTACTGCCCTGAGATGTCTTTAAACTTTAACCAAAAATATCACCTGAAATCTTCTTAAAACCAAATGGCAGTTTAGCTTAACAAAACACTGTCTGCCTTCAACAATGTGCTCTTTTGAGAACAGTCCTTATGGGATCAAACTGACCCCAGCAACTCAGGAGCCTGGATAGCAAGCTTGGAGGCAGCACAGAGTTTACATCAATGAGAAGGAACAACTCAGGAAAGGAGGCCGAGAATGGCTGCACAACTAGAAGAATGGAACCAATGTACTGAATTGGACAGGAAGAAGTTGTTGAATGGGGGTACGTTCTGCCATGTCTATTTTCAACAACAAAAATAAAATAAATTGTGTTATAAAAATGTTCCAGAGTGACACAAAGTTCCCAGAAGTTCGAGCACCCAGGCCACTTACCTCTCAGGACGGAATTCCTCTGGCTCGGGCCAGGACTCGGGATCACGGTGTAGAACGTAGGTGGGAACTATAACCACCATCCCCTTGGGGATGGTCACCCCCCTGAGCTCCACCGTCTTCTTGCAGACTCTCTCCAGACGGCCCACCAGAGGGAAGAGCCGGAGGGTCTCATTCACCACCATGTCCAGATACTCCATCTGCAAGAGGACCTCGTAGGTGGGCTCTGCCTGCAGGAGGAAAGCGTTCACTTAGTCTTTCACTTACCACGTTTTAAAATTTGGTGAAAATATGCACAGCGATACACCATGTCAACAATTCCTCCATGTACAACTCAGTGACAATCATCACGTTCTTCAGGCTCCACAGACGTTCTCCCTTCCTTCTCTGAATCGTTCCACCACCATTCACTCAGACTCACTGTCCTCTGAGCTGCTCTTCTAACCTTCCGAGTCATTGTTCTCAATTTGATCACACGTAGGTAATTCCTCACAACTTCATAATGCTCAAGGTAGCAAACTTTACCTAATAAGGGAACTATGGACTGCTAACCAGAAGGCTGGCGGTTCAAACCCATCAGCCACTCCTCAGAAGGAAGGCTGGGCAATCTACTTCCATAGATTAGACATTTTTCTGGCTGACTAGGGAGGTGGGAGCTCTGGTGGCATAGTGCCTAAGGCATTTGACTGCTAACCAGAAGGCTGGTGGTTCAAGCCTCGGAAAACCCAAGGAGGGGTCGCTATGAGTTGGGTCCGACTCCACGGCACTTAACAACAACAACAACATGGTTGTTCAAAGCTGATTTCAGGAGAAAGTTTTGGTTTAAGGTATAAAGTCTAACGATTATCTCAAGGTGATAGTTTCAAGATTTCATTAACTCTCAATGGCTCCAGAAAGTCTGACTTCCATTGAGAAGTTGAAATTCTTTTCCAATTTTTCTCCCTTTTGATCAGATTTCTTCTACAGAATCTTTGATCAAAATGATCAGCAACTGTAGCCAGGCACCATCCAGTTCTTCTGGTCTCATGACCAAGGGGCAGATGCTCATGGACATAACCAGATACACAATTCATTTCCTTCTCCTTTTCCTGACTCTCAGAAAGGTGTTTACCAGGTGGTGATGCTAAATGCTTAGGAAAATAAAGAATTCTGCTTGCCTGAGCCAATTAGATAATTATCTCTAGAGTACATGCTGTGAGCTTCAAACAGGATGGGACTGAAGGAGCCCACATCTCATTGGAGGTCACCATGTGCATACGAGCCAGTCTCTTCTACTGGGTAAAGAATGGTGGGTACAAGATGGTAGTCTACTCATTAGCATTCTTTCAGGGCTGGCCTAACTTTTACTTTCTCAGAACTCAGAGTTCTAATAGGCCACATCAGTATGAATTGGATATCCAGTGTCTATTCAATACCTCCTTGGGATGACTGACTCTACGTGGCCAAAACAAAATTCTGTGTCCCGCCAAATATGTTTCTGCCACTTCAGTTAATGTCTCTATTACCCCCTCACACTTCCTCAACCCCCAAACCTAGCAGTTGTCCTTGATTCTTTTTTTTTCTTTTTCATCTCACTGTCTCCAATCCATCAGCAAGACCCTTGGTTTGCCCCCCAAATCTCTCGATTCCAGCCACTTAACTTCTATCATTGTTCCCTTTCCCTGGACCACAGCACCCTCACTGGCTCCCTGAGTGCATTCCTTCCCCCTGTGCTCATCCAATCACATCACCCAAGGCTCAGAGGCCCTCAGAAGAATCTCAGTGCAGTGAGGTTAAAGCCCAGCCCCACTCCATGGTCTACAATGATCTACATGATCTAGTCCCCACCTACATGCCCACTCCCTCCCTCCCCACTGACTATACTCAAGTTACATTGGGCTCCTTCTGTGTCCTGGATTCACTAAGCTCGTTCCTGCCTCAGGCCTTTGTACTTCCTATCTCCTCTGCCCAGGACACTTTGTTGTCAGGCTGGCTTCTTCTCACTCCGATTTTCATTCACCTCCTCAGAGCCTCTTCCAGACACACTTGATCACAGCCCACCCCATCCCTACCACTTGTTGTCAACCCAACCGAACCCACTCCCACCATTTGATCTCTACTAAACCCACCCCCACCACTTGTTCTCAACCCAATCCCATACCACTTGATCTCAACCCAACCCACCCCCACCAACTGTTCTCAACCCAGCCCCCTACCACATGATCTCAACCACCACCCCACCATTTGATCTCAACCCAACCCACCCCCTACCACTTCATCTCAAAACTTCCACTTATTCTCATCCCAACCCACCCTACCACTTGTTCTCAACCCTACCCAACACCACCACTTTATCTCAACCCAATCCATCCCCCCAACCACAACTTGATCTCAACCACTCCCCACCCTCTTCCCTTTCCCCTGACCTGCTATCCTCTTCTATTTCATCACTGAATTTATCACCATCTGAATTTATCTTGCTCATGTATTGGTTTGCTTTTTCACTGCCTGTTGGCCTCCTCCCACCCAGAAGCAGCTATGTAACAAGCACAGGTAGCACACCCATGAAACTGTCCCCAGCCCCACCCATCACAACAGTAATGAGAGATCCTGGAAGCCACAGTCTTGGTCTAGCTTTTCACCACTATATCCTGGACACCTAGCATAACTATGGTCTGGTCTGTACTAGGTGTTCAAGAAGGAGTTGAATGCATGGAGGCCAGGCCACTTTGAAATATTATTTAATTCCAAAGCAACATAAATTATTCCACATTTCTATTCCCGCCTTCCTAATTAGCTCTTTGGAGGCAGGATTCGTATCATATCCTGTTCCTTTGCGATCCTGGAGTTAGCATCTGGTGGCAGATAACATATTCAGTGGCCCAAGGCCCTCAGCATCTCCCCTTCTGGGGACATTCTACAGTTTGGACTCAGACTTAAAATGTGAAAATAAGAAGCCAGGATTCTTGGCCTTATGGAGATCTCCAGGTCACATCACCTTGTTGGGCAAGGCACTGTCGATCTCCTCTTGAAGTTTTGCTTGCACCTGCAGGTGAGTGGCCAGGTTGTAAGCTATAAAGGTGAGGGCTGAGCTTGAGGTCTCATATCCAGCAAAAAGAAAGGTGACGGCTTGAGCGCAAATCTCCCGGTCTGTCAAAGCTTTGAGGGAAAAAGAAAATGGCACCATGAACAGGTGTACAGGCAACAGCCCACATTCTGGGTACCTGCCTGGACTCTGCACCTAGAGAGATGTAACCTTCTGGTATGTTCCTGTTTGGCCACAGGGTTTTCCCACCCCCCTTATTGTGAGATGCCAATGTGAGAACAAAGGAGCTGGGAAGCAGAAGCTCTGAGGAGCAACCATCCCACAAAGTTGACTCTGGAAGATGAGGGTGTGGTGAAGGCTCCTTCAAGAAGAGGGTCACAGAAAGAGATCAAAGGCTGACAGGATGCTGTGAGCTCCAGACTGGAGATGACGACAGCCAGCCTCCTCGTCTTACAGATGAGAAGGAAGACACCAGAGGCAAGAGGTGACCAGACAAGGTCACGTGAAGAAGCTGAGCCAGTCCTTTTAGTATGAGGTGTGTTCTTAACAGCTATCCTGAGCAATGCAGATGGTTAAGCGCGCAACTACTAGCTGAGGCACCTCAGAAGACAGGCCTGGCCATCTGCTTCTGAAAGGGCACAGCCTTGGAAATGCTGTGGAGCAATGTACCCTGCACACATAGGGTCACCAGCGAGTCGGAACCAACTCAACAGCAACAACGTTTCCAACAAAAGAAGCTGTGAGTGGACAGCAACACAAGTGACATGTTCTGGGAATTCCTAGCGGTCTCTTCCACGCAGGCTTGGAGAATGGCCTCCAGTCAGCTTGGAGGCAGGACCGACGACCTGCGATGTTACCTTTAGGGGGCTGGTTTGCCTTGCTGGATTCTGAGCTGACGGTGGCCTGCGAATCGATCATCAGCTGTAGAAAATCCACATGGTCCTGGACAGAGAGCCAGAGAGGGCAGAGGGTGAGAGAGAGAGGGACCCACTGGGCCACGACACGAGTCTTCAATGGCACTCTTGGCTCCCACGGGAAGAGAGGACATGGCTGTGGTTCCCAAGCTTTAGCCCACGTCACATCTGGGAACGTGTCTGAGCAAAAGCACAAGGCAGTCATCTCCTGCTCTTCTCTGCACCCCTCCATCCCTCCCCCCTCTCCCTTCATTTTCAGAGCCGGGCTCAGGCAAAAACACTAAAGTAAGAATACGAAATTGATACTTACGTCCAAATTATAGTTTGAGACTTAAGCATGGTTTTGAAAACTCAGAAGGCGTCACAGTGACTCATAATCCAAGATGCAAGGACGCATGTGTTGTGCTCGGGCTTTTGTGTGGTTCTTTCTTGTCCTTTCTCAAGGTTGCTTAGGTAGGTGAACCCACATTCTATGCACAATGCTGTGTTTTGGTCTTTTTCACAAGTATTAGGGTTGGGGCATTACTCCATGCCCTAAGAAGTGCTTCCACACATGGTTTATGGTCCCTGTAGGAGGGCCTGTGGGGGCAGTTCTGCTCTGTCCTCTAGGGGCGCTGTGTGTCAGAATCGACTCATGGCAATGGGTGTGGTTTGGGCTTTGTTTCCATGAAGACTGACAGCCTAGAAACCCTATGCGGCAGCTCTACTCTGTCCTCCAGGGATGCTGTGAGTTGGAATCCAATTGAGGCCAGCGGGTTGGCTTTTTCTTTTTTGGTGGAAGATTCCATCATATCCGTATGCCATCACTGGTATCACTCTTGTTTTGTTTCATTTTGCCAGTAATACTCTGAACCCAAAACCAAACTCAGTAATATCAAGCTGCTTGTGACTCATATCGATCCCCACTGGGTTCCCAAGGATGTCAATCTTTACCAAAGCAGACTGCCTCATCTGTCTTCCATGGAGCAGCTGGTGGGTTCAAAGCATCAACCTTCTGATTAGCAACTAAATGCCTTCGCCAGTATGCCAGAGCAAATGGAGTCACTTATGAAGGAGTGGAAGTTCTTTGGCAACACTCCAGTAAGCCAACAACCTCGAAAATCTTTTGCACACAGCTGATGGTTATATTGGAACAGATCAACAGACTTCTTTCAAGGTGAAGGGGTGAGAATCACTGCGATTTTTGATATACATTTTGCCTGTTTTCTAGAGTTTAACAACATGGATTCCAACTAAGGTGGCCATAACACTGCCCCTTACCAATGTCACTTATTGTTTTAAACTCTACCTTGATAGGAAATAAACCATGATCTCTTTTAATGCACATCCCAGGCTGTTAATAAGGCCTGTTTGCATTTCACTTCCTCTTTCAGGGACGTCTTGGTGTCAATCTTGTTGGTTCCCACTCGCTCTTTATAAGTTAAATCCGGTGACACGTCACTCGTTGTATTTGTTGCATTTGCCCAGCTTGATATTTGTGTTTTAATAAAGTAGATAAAGGTGCTCCTTTATTTTGTCTCTTCCCCCTCTAAGAGGCCATCTCTCCCTCTTCAGACCAGGAGTCCATATGCTGCCCTCTTCTTTCCCAGAAAAGGCCATGTTTGGTAACAAAACAGAACAAAACCCACAGCAGTTGCCATCAAGTTGGCTCTGACCCAGTCGCCCCTGAGTCACTTCTGTGTCGAGTAGACCTGTCTCCAGAGGGTTTCAATGGCTGTGATTTTGGAGAAACCCATCACCTGGCCTTTCATCTGAGGTGCCACTGCATGGATTTGAACCACCAGCCTTTTGGTTAGTAGCCCAGAGCTTAACCATTGTGCCACCAGAGCTCCTCCCTCACTTGGGTGGTTCCTAAAAATAAATCCATGTTGAGGTAGACTGGGGCAGTGGGGGAGCTTCATAGAATCTGGACCTGAGTTCAAATACCACCCCCACTGGCTTACGTACAAGTGTGGGCAGGTCGTATGATTTTCTGGGCAATGGATAAACTTGTGCAAGGGTCAATGTGGAGATGCAACGACATAACAATATGTGAATACACCCAGCAAAACACATGGGAACTCACTAAAGGTTTTTCCTTAATGAGATAGTTGTTCATTGGAGCATTATTTGTAAGATAAAAATAAACTAGAATCAAAAGAAGACTTGTAGAAATGTCTTCCTTGTATAATGGACTCTTACCCAGGTCTCATCATTATTTGCTGACGAATTGCTTCAGTTGCTCTCGAGTCAGTTCTGAGCATGGCGACCTCCTGTTTGTCAGAGTGAAACTGGGCCCCATGGGGTTTGCAAGGACCTTTCAGAAGTAGATTGGCAGGCCCTTCTTCCGAGGCACCCCTAAGTGGATTTGAACTGCCAACTTTTTGGTAACAGCTCAGTGCTTAATGTGTAAGGGCATGGGAAAATGCCACAAGAAGTTCTTTCTTCTCTTCTAATGAGATACAAGAAGCTCTGGTAGCATAGTGCCTAAGGCACCTGACTGCTAATCAGAAGGGTGGCAGTTCCAACTCACCAGCCACTCCTCGGAAGGAAGATGGGGCAATCTACTTCTGTAGTGATACCGCTTCGGAAAGCCAAGGAGGGGTTGCAATGAGTCGGGGCCGACTCGATGGCACATAACAACAACAACAACAAGATACAAATGACTGGGAAGGGCTTAATGGATGACTCCATCAAAGGATGTGTAAATAACGGACCACTGTGTAAGTCTAGAGAAGGACTCTTGAGCAGTAAGGGACAGGAATCAGTGACAGGCTGGGATGCAGATTCGTCAATGGAATCTCCCAGTTCTTGGATTACTGCTCTCTGAGAGAACACTGAATGACATCACAGGCACCCACAAAAACTGACCCTCACAACCCAACCCACCCTACAGCCAAGTGCTTCTGTTCTCGCACACAACACCCCCTCTCCGTGCTCTTGTCAAAATCTGACAATGAGAGAATGTGGGGCCAACACATGGCCATTTCTCTCTACCAACACGATTAGCCCAGGAAACACTGCATTGAGTGATGCTAAGCGACCAGGGAGCTCACTTGTCAGGCTTCAACCTCGTCTGCGACAAGGCTTTGGAAAATCACAAGTTGAACCTGTCTCCTCAGTCTTCCTGGTACCACCTGCTGCCTTTCCATCTGGTACCAGTAGAGGGGCACAGTCCACCTGGCCGCCATCTTGTCTCGATCTTCGTTGACAACAAAACCTTTCCAATTAAAGGGGCAGGGATAGTGTCCACTCGTTTTGGGCTCAATCTAACATCATCCTAACCCTCTAACAATCTGACCACCCCAACTCAGTGTCCCGCTTCTCTGCTTCTTGGCCTGCTGCCCCTGGATTGGGATCTCAGGCCACTGGGATTCTGCCTGGATCATTAGCATTTAGGTTCAGTTCTAGGGATTTACATGGGCTGGAAGCCAAGAGCTCACCCCAGCCGTGCGTAGTTTCAGTTGTGCAGGTATGAAAGCCACCCAGGCAGCAGTGCCCCAGTGACCTCAGTGTGGGCCTGGATAATGCTATGGGAGCCTGGTAGGGCTTACCCTGCATCCACTCCTTTGCCATTCCTTCTTAATACGCTTGATCACATTCACAAGGAAGTCCATCTGCTTCCGGGGAAATAAAGTCACATTCATGCTTTCCAGCAGTGGCACAAAGAAAGGGAATATCACTGGGGAGGGGTAGGAAAACAACAGTTAGGCTCCAAGCAGGACCAGGGAAAAATCTAACCCTGAAGGGACCCATGGGACGTTGGGTGCAGAGGCTATTAGGGATGTGAGAAGTCGGAAACCACCCTCACCCCAAAAAGAACAGGACCTGGGTGGCTGTGCACGGCTGCCATCAGTTGTGTACTTAGGGCTCGCTCTGTGTCAAGGGCTTCATATGCACCTCCTCAGTCAGCGCCTCCCAGTCTCAGAGGTCATTTCCCTAATTATACCCATTTCACAGATGAGGAAACAGGCGAGAACTTGCCCAAGGTTACAGGGTGAGCAACGGGCACTCTGGGACTCATGCCCAGCCTGGATGAGGCCAGAGTCCACCCTGGAGCACTGGGCCTCCTATGGCCTCTCCCACATGTTGCCTGTAAGCACAATTCCCACGTCCACAACTGACCAGAATGTCAAGGTGTCTGGGCCTACGTAGGGTGCTGGCAAGGTGGGAATGTGGGCCAACACGAAAACGCTCTGGAGTAAACAGATCTGTCAGCACAAACATAATACCAATGAAATGCCTCCCCTCTATCCTACCCACCTCCTCGCTCACCAGAGAACAGCGTCTCCTAGAAACAGAACAGCTACACTCTTCTGCACCTGCAGGGATGCAGAGCAAGCCGAGCAGGATGGGAAGTCTTCAAGACTTCTCTCTACGTCAGCTTTATTTCACCCTTTAAATGGATCTACTTGGGGCATATATTATCACGTATATATTAGTGTGGTCTCACCAATAAATAAATACATTTGTGACACGCTCAAAATGCTGTTGGTCATATGGGTATGCAGCCAAAGGGCTTGGAGACACTGGACTATGCTGGGCTTGTGTATTGAAGATTTGCTCTATTGTAAAAATATTTTAAATCTATTCTTGCAAAACTATGCTGTCATAAGTGGAGATTTTTTCTAGTGATTTGGACACTCTACTGGGTGTATTCATAACCTCCCACACTCCTTAGCTCACTGGGCCCTCTCAGTGATGCCCTTGGTGGGGCTGTGGAAGGCAAGCTGCTGGGAAATGTGGCAAGTTCAAAGATGGCCAAGGACCACAGCTGAGAGTATGATATTGCATGCTGATGGGGGAGGAGGTCTCTGTACCTATGAGGATCATCAAAGGGCTCAGAACACTGAAGGAGATCAGCTTCTTAAGTTGGTGGAGAACAATATCATCTGGGTTATTGATGGATTCAGTGTGGATACCAAAGAAAGTGCTGGTGATGACATCCAGAGTGTAGGCTCCAAAAATCCTGGGTTGGAAAAGATGAGATAAAAAATATAAGGAAATCGGGAATTCAGGCAAGATGATAGAAAAAGAAGACAAGCTACACAGTCCCCCTACAACAGAGAAACGAGAAACCAATTGAAAGAGATACAGAAGACAATCCTGGAACATTGAGCTTTGAAGGTAAGGATAAAGAAGTAGATTAAATACTGACTAACTACAGGAGGAAAATAGCAAGTACGTAGACAAACAGAGCTGTGAACTGTCCCCTGGCCTGACAGCACAGCCAGATTGAATGTGTGCAAGCAGTATTCTGATCCTGGCAGCAACCTGATAATCGGCTCTGCTCACCAAGGACTGCAAGGGCAACCACACTGGTGGCTGACATCCAGAAAGCCCCAGCCACTGAGCAAGGGCCACCAGCTGCTTCTGCACCAACTGATCAGCAATAGATGGTGGCCAATGCCAGCCCAACCCACCCTCCACTGCTCTCCATGAACATCTAATGGAGACCTGTGCACAATTTTTTGTCCTTTGTCACACCCACCAGGAGACAAGTGGTGAATGCCTAAGTGTTGCCAGACTAGAAAACAGAGTAGAATGCCAGCCCTGCTCGCTCAGATATAACAAAATGAAATTAAGTGGGGGGAAAAAAAGGCAAATCACAGCACCACAGAATCACAAACAACATGTGAATACAACAACATCACAGTGTTTTGGAGACAACTGGCAATCTCAGTTCACAAAGAACCAAGATAAATTCGTACAAACAAGGGCCTAGGATACAGACCCAGAAACCTCCCAGGGGAAGAAGTGGCCTTGGAACCATCTAATAAGGAATCAAAAGAATTATAGGTGGGTACCTTCAAGGGATTGAGAGATTGATCAAGGAAAACACAGACAAAACTCTAGAACAATTTAGGAACACCATACAAGAACAAACTGCTCCCTGTTTCTTTGGTCTCTCCAGGAAGCCAGCCCAGCCTTTGCTCTGTTACAGCAAGTCCTACATCTCCCCCAATCAGTGCCTGAAGGCAGCCCACTCCCCCAGGAAGCCTCCTCCCCAAAGGCACTCAGTTTTCCGTGGGCCGACAAGCCCAATGTTCTGTCTCGTGCGAGCCTCCTGGCTCTGCTGCCACCATCTCTCTGCCAGGCTCTCTGCTACGGTCTCAGTGTAGGGATCTCAGTTCCAAGGATGTGCTCCACTCCTGCTTCCACATTTTAAGTATCTGTTAGAGTAGTACCCCATTCCTGGTACCAAATTCTGCCTCGGTTCTCTAGTGCTGCTGTAATAGAAATGCCGTGCATGGATGGCTTTAACAAACAGGAATTCATTCTCTTACACTTTAGAGACTAGAAGTCCATATTCAGAGTGTCAGCTCTGGGGCTGGTTGGCGGCCCCTCCACCTTGGGCTTCCTCTCTGCCTCCTGTTCCAGGCCCACTGGAGAGGGAGGCTTCTTCTGGCTCGTGCAGCTGCTGGCTTCTGAGGTGAGGATTACGAACCCAAGGTTGGAAGATAAAATGGCACAATCTCAAGATCAGCAGGCCACGGGTTCAAGTCCAGGAACTGGAGATGAAGGCTCAGAGAAACGCAGGATCCAAACGTTCCAACAGCTAGAGTCTCAAAGCTCCTCCTTCTATACTGGAAGCAGGCTACACCCTGAAGGTAACTACTTCACTGCTCATTGCAAAGTCCACCCTGCAGGTAATTACAATCCCATCATGGGGAATAACTACATCCAGTTGCCCAGCCACTGAAAAGCACAGCCCAGCCAAGTTGATATGCAACCTTAACTACTACTAGGATTTCCTGGGCTGACATCTTTATGGGAACAGATTGCCAGGTCTTTTCCCTCACAGAGCCACTGGGTGGGTATGAACCTCCAACCTTTCTGTTAGCAGTGGGCACTTTAACCACTGTTCCACCATGGCTCCTTCGCAGGTGAGTACACGTGTAGGAACTCCCCAAACCGCGCACGTAAGCTTGCGTAGTTGTCATTCTGACATTATTCTCTGGATGCCAGACCTACACCTCTGCACACACCTGTGTCTGGTCACTGTCCCCCTTCCCTCCCAGCCCGTCGCC